AATCCAAACGTTCTCCCCTCCGTGAGAGGCAACATCAGCTGCCAGCCAGTCAGGAGCAACTCATGACACGCGTGTCAAAGTAGACCTGTTTCCAGTGGCCACGTCTTCGGAAGTAGACCACTAGCCCTTTTGTCCGAGGGGCAGTTGAATGGTCTGGAGCCAGCACGCCCTTCCTTGTTTGCCCCAAGCAGGGACTGCCCGTTGAACTTGCGATCTGCAGCTTTGGTGTGAAGTCATGGAGGGGAGAGGGGTCTAGAAGAGAACCCCATCCACAGCTTCCACACCTTTACTCCCTAAGTGGTGCAAAGGGCCCCGAGGAGTTGGCTCTGGATCCCCAATAGGCCACCTGACAGCAGCACCCCCACTACCCACCCCCTCACCCCCCAGGGCTACCCTCTGAACCACAGCCCTCCTCCCCATCTAAGACTGTGCAGGTGAGTGAGCAGCGGGAGCTCCCGGTCCCGGATCATGCATGCTTTGTTGATCAGGATCTGGGAGTGAGATGCACCGAGCCACCGCATGTCAAGCAGCATGTTGGTTTTCCTTAAATCACAGCACAAAAGGGAGCCGTTCCTTTTGTGCGGTCCTCCTTTTAGAAACAAAGGACGCGGCCATGGCCATCTTCCTCCAGGCTTCCAGCCATCAAGCTGGCCGCACCGGCTGCACCGGCGGAGGGTGGGGATTGAATGTGGGGGTGTTTGTGAACCCAGCACCCCACCCTCCCCGCCCCATGGTCCATGAAATTGAAGGCTCCCAGATGCTATTGGATTCCACTTTGTCGAATGTCTGGAAGGTGATAGGCACAGGGGGGGGTGGAGGGGGGGAGGTGCAGAGCTTCAGCGGTGTCTCTGGAAAGCACCTTCCGGAGCACAGTTCCTGATCAGTGTGTGTCTTCCCTTGGACAAAGGCTCGTGGCATTTCAACCCCCCTCAGCTGCTTCGCTCAGCTCCGCCAAGGCCGCGGGCTGAGCTGGCCCTGGTTTCCAGGCATCATGATCTGTTCCCAACTGACCGGTACTCAGGAACAGCACATATTCCCATCCCAGCCAAAAAAAAAAACAAAAAAACAACCAAACTACCCGCTCTGTAACTAGGCAGGCACCAAGCAGAGGCAGAGTACCACTCCCATCCCAGAGGATTTCTCTCAGTGCAGAGGAGAAAGGAAAGAGTCGAGTCGGAGGGGGTGCCAGAAGGCAGCGGAGCTCACTGGGCAGAGCAGGTACCTCCCGGGAGCTTCCTGCGGCGCAGACTTTGGGGCGGGCTCATCTCCCAGCACAGCTAGCCTCTGCTGTCAGATTTCACTCCGAGCCCTGAAAACACAGCCATTCTGCAGGAAGGCAGCCACTGAGCAACGTGATGGTTGGATTTCTTCCCCCAAGCCCTGGGCAGGCAAGCTCTCCATGCCTGTATCCTGGGTGATTAACTGCCTTCCAGCCTGAGCCTGCCCTCGCTCACGGGGAGGTCACTGGGTCCTGGGAAGATTGCAGCTGGCTGAGCTGTTTCCTCGAGCAGACTCCAACCCTCCTGACCTCCCATCGTGAGCAGCAGACCTGGCATTTGGTAAATGCATGAGTGCAGGAGCCAGGCAAGGCAGGCAAAAATGCCAAGGCATACTACCTGGCTGACTGAGAGGTTGTGAAGTATCCTGGGGACTCGTCCCTAGGCTGATCTGCTGCGGCAGCCCCGCCCCCCCCAAGTCTCAGGGAATGGCAGCCTTTGGGGGAAGGGAACCAGAAATATGGTGTGGCCACCCCAGTCTGGGCTATGAGGCTGAGCTCCAGGAAGAGATGAATTAGCACCTCCAGGCCCAGCCCGTTCTGTAGAACTGAGCCGGGATGAGAGTCGTGGGAAGTAGGGGGCAGGGGAGGGAAGCCATATTCACCTTTAAGAAATAGACACTATCCTCCAAAAATAGAGCTTCCAAACCCCCTCGAGCCGCAGACCCCTCCCCTAGCCCAAATGAACTCACTAAAGAGGCAGAAGCTGGAGTTGGAGTTTGGGCCTCCTGGTTAACTTGGACTTGGGTTGATCTCAAGACTTTTGTGCTAGACATCAGCATGGACTTATTCAGAAGCCATGGAGCTTATTCAGAAGCTCCAGTGATTTCTGTGTGGTTCACATCTGCCGGCTAAATCAGAGCCCCAAACGCCATGGATAGCCAGCCCAGAGCTTATATATTTGGGTACATGATGTATAATGCGTAGCCCCAGTGGAAAAGGGAGGAGAGGAAGGAGGAGGCGCTGGTATTTGGTGTGTGGTTACCACAGTAATCAACACCCCAGAGGGAAGCGAGATTCCTCCAGGACCTGGTAAAAGCAGGTGGGGGGAGACTTGTAAGAGCTCTGGAACCTGGAAGCTCCTAAATGGAGACTTGAGCCCCATAGTTCCCCAGAGCAGGCCCCCACAAACACCACCACCCCCAAAGGCCCTTGAGTCTGCACGTAGATGGCACATATTCCCAGGTGAACCGACTAGATGACAAATGCCACGCTCACAGAGGCGTACCTGTGGAAAACAGCACCTATGGCAATCCATTTCAAATGACCAGTGATCTCTCACAGCCGCCCGGGGAGAGTGACAGCGAATAGAAAGTGCTCACTGGTGCCCCACACCCCATGCTCCTGTTGGCAACAGGGCACCAAACATCCCTAGATCCATCCACCCCTGCCCTCACCCCAGTAACAAAGGCAAGGTGCCTCTGGAGGGGGCTCCTTGAAGGTCAGCCTGTGCCGGCTGAGTCACTGTTGGCCCGAACTGGACAGAGGGGCGGCCATCCACCTTGAGAGACTTTCCAAGACTGACACCGTAACCCTCTGGGATTAAAAAAAGGAAGAAGGGGGAAATCTGATTAAAAAATCCCTCACCTAGTATAAATGCCTCCCGCTGCAGGCTAAGTCTAGTGTGTTGGAAAATTCAGATAAGGTTGTTGATGGGAGATTGTGTGGGCTCGTGGTTTGGGGGCTTTTTGGTATTTTAAGATTAATCACACACACACACACACACTATTGTGTTGATTCTTCTCCATAGCAACCGGGTAGAACTGCCCATATAAGGCTTCCATCTTTTCAAAAACACAGGGCCGCAGCGGCCTCCTGAGGAGCACCTGGTGGGTTCGAATCCCTGACCTTTCAGCCAACAACCCAGCACTTACCCGAGTTAAGATAAAGTGGGGGGGTGAACAGAGGAAGAGAGACACAGGTTTGTGACTAGCACCTGAGGGGGTACTCATTCCACGGCCAATGTCATCATGTTCGCAACAGAATTCTCCAAGCCGGGCCTGTCCCACCCCACCCCTCCATAGAGACCACGGCAGATGGCATATTGTCGAGTATGCACTAAACTCACATCCCACCTTGTTTGTTTGTGAGATAGCCCCATGATCCATCAATTCATCCATCAGCAGGTTTATCGAGTGCCCTCCCAGGCTTCACAAACCTGATCAATTGATTTTAATTACACCCCGCTTGCACGCAGCCGAGCCCAGTCAACAAGACGCATGCTCACACCTCACTTGGAAATGGACGTGAGGAATTGCCAGCCCTTGCGAATCTCACACCACCTCAGCCACAGTCCGTGCTGATGAGCAAGCGTGGGCTGCCCTTTGCAGATGGCAACGGTGTCGCTGACCCGCTGTCAATACCACGATGGGTTCTGAGTGTTTTCTCAGACACCATAATCAATCTACTTGCGGCCAGCCACATTTGAGACCCTAGTCCAATGATATGGATTTCTACAGAGAGTGAGCAGAGCAGACAAACAGAATGAGTGTGCCCCACTCCTTCCCCTTATTCCTCCACCTGGGGAGCCCCAAACCCAGATCTGGGGAGCCCCTTCCCCACCCCACCCCCTCCTCTGAGCATGTGGACAGTTGGACTATCCCAGGATCGCTCTGACTCATGCACTGGGCCTCACCTCCTGGCCCAGTTGGCTTAGCTTTCTTTTTCAAGAACTGCGACGCATGCTAGAGGTGAAATGTGTGCCCTCCTCCTGGCAGGAGATTGGGTCATCTAACTTGGTCTCTCTGGGTTCTGCAGGTGAGGAGCTAAGAATATAGATATATACATGGGACGAGTGCACCGTCCCGGGCCCTGCACTGGTAGCCATTCTGAAGACCTGCCGTCAAATAGGCCCAAAGTCTGTGTGGCTCTCCTAAGGCAAATTCTCTATTCCATTTCAAACTGGATTCATAGGTCTTGGGGGTTCCTTAAGGCTGATTCACTCATTCGCTTCTGATGCCCCAAAGCCTTGGGCCCACCCACCCTCCCCAAGCCCAGTACACCCCCACTTGCCTAAAATCAAGTCCAGGGGAAACTGAAGCCCTGAGATACATGACACCAAGGATCAAAACGCCTGGTCTAGGTTAGGAAAGGCCCCCACTCCCGAAGAGTGCCAGCAACATCCTCCCTTTATCTGTCTTGGAGTTTGGATTTCTGCCAACTGTATTATACCTAACTATAAGGAGCCCGGATGACAGGGTGGGTAAGCACTCAGTTGTTAACCACAAGGTAAGTGGTTCGAACCCACCAGCTGCTCTGCAGGCGAAAAATAAGGCAGTCTGTTTCTGGAAAGATTTACAGCCTTGGGAACCCTATGGGACAGCTCCACCATGTCTTACAGGGTCTCTATGAGTTGGAATTGGGTCAACCGCAACAGGTTTGGGTGGCAAAATGACTCAACTGCTAGTCAAGAGACCAGCAGGTCAAAGTCACCAGTCTCCCCACGAAGAACGATACGGAGCCTGCTTCTGGGAAGATGCAGCCTTGGGAACCCTATGGGGGCAATTCCGCTCTACCCCATAGGGTCACTGAGTTGGAACCCACTGAAGGGAAATGGGTTTGGACTTGGTCCCTAGCTATGAAAGGTCAAGGCGGCAGTGGGAATCGGTTAGCTAAGTCAGCTGGCCTGGGTGGCTTTCACGACCATGAATTCACCTGCCTGGCTCTCTGTCTCTGTCCGTCTGTGTGTGCCTGTGTGTGCCTCTCTGTCGCCTGTCATCTGCAGGGAAAGTCGCTGGCGGGCAAGCGTCTCACGGGCCTGATGCAGTCTTCCTGACAGTACCACCCACAGGGCCGGGGCCTGCGGACCCCTTGGGCAGCACGCGGCGGCGCTCCACATCCGCAGAGAGAGTGTCCTTGCGGGGCGAGCTGCTCACCGTGAAAGAGAAGGAATGAGGGCGTTGAAGGGCAAAGGTGGAGCCAGTCGGTGGGTACACAGCTGGAAAGACTGGGACAGTGGAGCCTGAGGTCGGCCCCTAGAGGCTCCTGTTTACAGCACTCTCTTCCTTGGAGAGTTGTGCTTGGACACTCCATGCTCCATGAGGCCCTGGCTCCTGCCTCATCCAGGGGAGAGCACCCATGTGGGCTTCTGGTTGCTATCATAGTCTTACTGTCTCACTCCCCATGCTGCGGGGGGCGGGGGGCACACCTTCTGGCACACGCAGAAGCCACCAACTGGCCCTGAGCACATCCAGTATTACGCACCACCTCCCACCCCATCTCTGGCCACCACCACCCCCAGCACCCCCAGCCGGGGGGGGGGGGTGCAGCCTTCTTTCTGCCTCCTCCAAACCTCTCTGGCCACCTGGCATAGCAGACCTGCACCAGCCACCACTTCCACAGAAAATGTCCTGGTCACACCTTCAACACTGAAGCCACCTTCTTGATGGGCGCAGTTTAAGTCCTTCCAACCCCCTCGGAGGCCAGCGTTCTCAATGGCGGGGGGCGGGGGCGGGGGTGTCTCTACCCACTGGCTGCCCATGGCGAGCACCAGAGGAAGACACAAGAGCGCGTTGCTTCACAGCCTTGAAGGACCCGATGACCACCGTCTTTAAAATCAGGACTTTGTCATTGATTCTGAGTTTGCCCCTGCCACCACCCCCCTCCCTCCTTGGTTTGTCCCCTTCATGGTTTACTCACAATAAACGTGGCCATGCACTCGGGGGCCATTGAGATTCTCCCCTCCAGCAGGCGCAGCTGAAGCTGGGAGGGCTTCAAGTCCAGGAGGCGGCTCAGTGGCTGGTTTCCTGATGAGCGTGGGCCAACCTTTGCCCGGTGGTCAGGTCTCAGCTGTGCCCGGAACTGGGGTGGAGCATGCTAGTCGGGGGGAGGGGGCGGGATTGGCCAGGGCCTAGACTTGATCTGAAGACCTGAGCAAACATGTCCACCTGGACACCAACAACCTGGTAAATAATGCCAGTTATTGGGGCGCGGGGGTGGGGGGCAGAGACAATACTGGCAAAGGATTCATTTGTATCCCCTTCGCAAAAGGACCGTTCGCTACCTTGGCTGTGAGGTAACACAGCACCGGTGAAAAGGATCACCTGAGGATCAGGTGATCAGTCTAGCTGGGGTGGGGTCCAATCAGAATGGGCCTATTCCAAGCCCCGCCTGGCACTTAGTAGGTGATTAGCGCAACAGTAGCTATTATTGTCAATATTGTCATTGTGCTTCTTGTGACCCCCAAGACGCCCTTGGACCCAGCTGTATTCACGAACATGTTTTTGAATTCAGACCCTCCCTCCCCCACCTGCTTGGACTGTCCTCATGGAGTTTTGGACATAGGTGACCAGTCTCCCCTGGGAGTGCATAAACAGAAAACCTAGAAGCCAAAAAAAAAGAGTGATCACTGGTATTTCTTGACTCATGTAGGCAAATTGGCCAGCTGACGACCGAAGACACAGAAGCTGGTCACAGCCAGGCCTCCTTGGTGCTCCCCTGGGACCCATCTTTCCAGGCCCCCCGAGTCCTGTGCAGGTCTGACCCCACCCCGCCCCGCCCTCAGGGCACCAGGCTTCCCGCTCACAGCTGTTTCATGATGGTTTTCCCTCCTCTGGTGGGCTCAGGATAACCACGTCCCAGGTGCTCCCCCAGCACCTGTCTCTCTCTGCAAGTCATGGTGGAGATGGTGGAAGCTGAGAGGCCTCAGGGTATTGGCCAAGGTGGCAGGGGCGACCCAGCCTTTCACACATGCCCTTAGCGCTTCCAAAACACCCAGTACCTACTTAGTGAGTGGATAGTTAGATGAAACTCTAGCCTATGTTATGGGGTCTCTGAGTCCTCCTGTCCCTGGGCCACCCTCTTTCATCCCTTCAACACTAGAGGTCCAGCTCGCCTGTCTCCAACATTGCCCAAAGATGGCTTGGACTGCCAACCAGCCCCCAGGCTGTGCTGACACCAAGGCACAGGCTACATGGACTACGGGCGCCCCTGAGCAGGAGGCAGTCCTGTACCCCAAGTAGGCAAGTGTCCTGCTGTCCCTGCTGCAGGGGCAGGAGGGGCATTCTAAGTCAGGCCGGCTCTCGCCCACCCCCCTTCCTCCTCCCCCACCACACGCACCATGACTTCTGTGATCCTCCTGATTCTTGGCTGCTGAATTCCCTGAAGGTCCAGCCAGAGCCAGCTGGTGGAGCAGGCAGAAACCCCTCTGGGGCTATGCCAGGGACTGGCATGCCCACCAGGTATAAGAAACGCACCTTCCTTTCCCATGCCAGTCAAGAGATTGCAGATGGATTCAAACTCAGAGCAATAACCCCCTCATCGCTGCCTGCTCAGTCCTGGGACCACCACCCTGGGTTCCCCAGAAGACACAAGCCAAGCCAGAGTGGGCTGGAGTGGCCTTGCTCCATTCAAGTTAGTTCCCATTCGATGTCTGAGGGCAATTCTCCAGCAAAGCCAGATCTGCTGCCCTGCCTCCTAGATGAGCCTTAGCTCCCCAGGATGGGAAGTGTCTCTGCACCCGTGACTCTTCAGCATGAGGGCTCACAGGGCAAATGTCATTTGGGCAGCTCCAAGGCCAAAGCCTCAAGGCAGCCTTAGCATGTGAGCACCCACCCACCAGGTCAGACACACCAGGGAACAGGCCCGGGCATCTGACTGAAATAGGCTCTCCCTCCTTGGGAAGAGAAGAGATTGCCAGTTAGTCAAATGGCCTGACCCACGCAGCAGGGGAGAGGACTGGTGCCCTTCCAGAAAGTGAGGCCCAGCTGTGTTCTCAAGGGAAGATGTCTCTGCACCCCAAGATCAAAGCAGGGCTCGTGAAGTTCGCTGGGCCTCTACCCCAGGCTCACCCCTGCCGAGTGGCCAGCCCCGGGACCAGACCGCTCCAGAATCAGCATTGCTGCGTGCACAAGCTAACTGCAGGGCAACTTCTTCTGGGGGGCTTTCCTGCTAGCAGGATTCCTGGTGTGTTCCAACTACCTCACCACCAGGGCACGGACCCAGTACCCTGCTACCTAAGGACCCCTGGTCTGTGTTCTGTGCCCCCCACACACACCTCTTGCTGTTTGTGGAGGTTGATGTTCTTCCTAAAATGCACCCCACCTGTCCAAATGCATGGCTTTGGAACGCCTCCACCAGGAAGTCTTCCCGGAATGGGTAAAGTTAAATTTTAGAGTCCAGTGGTTCCAGCGAAGGCCGGGAACTGAGAAGCAATGGGCTGGGGAGGGGAGGGGAGGGGGAGGTGACAGAACGTGCTACCAGCTTTCCAAAGGGCCGGACGAGTTGAGAATGTAGCAAGCACCACGAGGCAGCACAGTCCAATAGTGGCCAAATGAATCAATCACTAATAACCCGCCAGGGGGATGCTCTGAACAGAGGCCCGTGCTCGTGTAACCACGGCAACGGCAGACGCCTGGCGCCTGCTCATTAATACCACCCAGCACTAAGGCTTCCCTCGGGCTTGGCCCAGGGGGCATAAAGTAGCAATGTAGCAAATGTAGCAATAAGGGGCCTGGGGCTTCTAAGGGAGCAGGGGCTAAGTGGCTGGGCTTGGGCCTCAGAGGAGGGCTAGCTGTCCTGGGCGGGGAGCCCCTGCCACAACCCCCAAAGACCCCTGTTCCGTGTTCTGTGCCCACTCTATCTCATGATCGCGGACACGCCGGAACGGCCTCCGCACCGTGCATGTCGTTCTCGCTGGTTTCTTTTGCTGGAATTCGGGGGGTTGGACCCCAGGCACAGACAGGCTGAAAATAAATTACTTCAACCCACCACACTTCCGCTTATTCTTCATGTCTCCTTGGTTGAGTGGGGCGGGGGGTGAGGGGGGTGGTGCTTGAGGTTGTCAGCAGGATTTACCTGCAGAGAGAGACAAGCCACTCTCCCTCCAGCCTCAGTCCCCTCCAAGGTTCTCGGCTAGCTCTGCTTGCCTCGCCTAGCCTTGCCTCGCCACACCTGGCGGGGAAGGGGACACTGTGCCCCTGACTGCCAGCACCTGCTTAACAGGAGCGGTCTCTGGGAACAAAATCCAGGGGCCTGCAGGCACCCTTTCTCGAGTAAAGCCCGCAGGGTAGAAGTGGTGGCGGGCAGACAGGGCTCCCGTGGGAGTCCTCTTGGTTTCCTGAGCGACCAAAGATCTCCTCTCACTGTTAACGCCAAAGCCAAAGCCACGCGGCCCCTGCAAAGCAGGCTGCCAGAACAGAAGGCAACCACAGACCCCAGGCTGCCATCCTTCCGCGAGGCCTGGGGCACCTCCCGCCCGGCCGGCCATCTCCATAAGGGCAGATGCCCAGGGTCTTTGTTTACCACGCTGTCACTCTGTGTGCTCCTGATCCTTGTGACCACCGAGAGCGGAGCTCTCGCTCCAGGTCAGCCGGAGGCAGAGGTGGGCATTGGAACCCACACGAGAGGGGCTGCATATGCCCAGCTTCTCCTACCGCCATGTCCTTCCGGGATTCCTGACCTTCGGGACAAAGAACCGTGGAGGCCTGGTGGTCAAGTGTTTGGCTGCTAGTCAAAAGGCTGTGAGTTCGAACCTGCTAGCTGTGCTGCCTGGGGGAGAGGCCATCTGTTTCTGCAAGACCTTGCCAACCCAAACCCATTGCGGTGAGTTGATTTGCCCTCCTAGCAGAGACCTGCCCCATCGGGTTTCCAAGGCTGTAAATCTTTATGGAGGCAGACTGCTGCGTCTTTCTCCCAAGGAGCGGAGGGTGGATTTGAACCAACCACTTTCACAACTGTCATGAGCACACAAGGCAATACTCAATCAAATATTCAATAACACGTAACACTCTTTATTCAAACGGGAACAATCCAAACAAGGTTCATTTCAACAAATACCTTCAACAATCTGAGCATAAACTCATGTCTATGAATATACTTCAAAGATCAAACAGAGTTCTATCAGCATAGTTATAATTAAAATCCACTGCACACATGACTGCTACATCATAGGTGTACTCACCCCTGACACGCTCTCCATGTGAGGGTCTGCATCATAGGAGATCTGAGGTCTGTGGCCTTTGGGGGCTACTTTTATATCATTTATTGATGTCATTATAGACATCATCATGATTTGACCAGTTTCCCCTCTCAAGTAAACAAATTAGCAGTAAACAAATTAAGTGATAAATATCATTGCTCAGCTAGTTTCCTTTCTAATGCAAACAAGTTGTAATAAATAACATGCTTCAGCTAGTTTTCTTTCTATCATAAATAATAAGAAATAACAAGTGCTCTGGTCAACCACTGCACCAGCAGGACCCCTTCTGCAAAGAGAGCCGTGGAAACCCTATGGGGCAGGCCTCCTATAGGGTCATTAAGGGTTGGAAACGACGCCATGGCAAAGGGTTAGGGGCATAATAAAGCCTTCCCTCACTCGGTGCCAGCTTCTAATGGTTCTCGGATGCCCCAAAGCATCAAGATCCCAGGAAGGTGTCCCTGGTCCTAGACATTTTCCCCGAGGTGGCTGCCTCCAAATCTCGCGGTTCAGAGAAGCATCCTGACTCCTGCAGGAATCCCTCCATCAACCTTCCTGAGCGGAAGGAGTCCTTGGCAGAAATTCCTACGTGGAAGTAGGGCTCCTTCCCCTGCACCCCTCCTTCAGCACCTGTAGAGGCGCTATGGGGTCTGCTCTGGCCCCAGTACACCCACCCAGAGGCTGGCTGCCCTGACCAAAGAAGGGCTGAGGCTGTCTTGTTTTACAGGGGCCTGGGGATGGGGGTGCAGCTGGGTGGGAATTCCATCTGGAATCACACTCTCTGGAACATTCCTGCTGCTCCCAAAGTGTGGGCTTGGAGCGACCTGACTGGGTCTGGCTTATTTCAGCTGACAAAACAGAGCCCAGGCCAACTCCAGAGACTGAGCCCCACACCCTCAGCCTGTCCTATGACTCAAAGCAGTGATGGAGGTGGGGAAACGCTGGGCCATCTCAGGGATGGGTTAGGTATGAAACAACCCCCACCCACCCCCAACTTAGTAGCTGTGTAACCTTAAGGCATGTCCTCCTTTCTGAACAAGAGTAAGCAAAC